GGGTGGGTTTCACTTGCCAGAAATTATTGGTGTCCATCCCACAGCTTTAAAGAAGTAAATCTGTTCAAAATGATGAAGCAACGAAAGATAATACTTCCTGAGAACGAAAGAGGCATTGGTGGCCGTTGAAGGGAAATTGAAAACTGAAGTTACTTCTTTCCATCTTCTCTCTCTTATAACCTGTAAAATTCAGATTGTTACATGCTCGAGCTGCTCGATCATATGAATTTGTAACGGATATTGTGCTTTAATGATTCAATTTTAATCCGTCGACCGTGGAGAAGTAAGGACTAAAACCATAGCAAAAAGACTCAATAGCATGACAGAACTTCATAGGTCCAAAGAATAACTGAAGGAAAAAGGCCTATAACTCATAAGATGAGAATATTTATCATGATTTTAGATACCAGGTCGTCAGGTCTTCGTTCAATAAGATATCATATTCAATATTGGCCGAGAATCTGATAAACATACTCCGGATGACATCATTCCGTAAGGATTATAGCATCGAAACGTTTACTAAAAGAGAAAAAAAACTCGGTCATCGAAACGTGTCCATTAGGGAGAGGTTTCCACACCCTTATAAGGAATACTTCGTTTCCCTCCCCAACCGATGAGGGATCAATCTCACAATTCACCCACCTTGGGAGCCCAGCGTCCTCGCTGGTACACCACCCGGTGTCTGGATCTGATATCATTTGTAACAACCAAGCCCACCGCTAGCAGATATTGTCCGCTTTGGCCCTTTACGTATCATCGCTTTGGCCCTTTACTAAAGAGAGATTTCCACACCCTTATAAGGAATGTTTCATTCCCCTCTCTAACCAATGTGGGATCTCACAATTTAACAATCGTGAAAGTGAATGAAAAAGCGGGAAATAGGCTCAAATAATGGCCTTATATTTGCCCATAACGAACAAGTTTCGACTCCAAGGTCAAGCATCACGTTTCAGACATGAAAATATTGATCACGAGATTCAAAGCAAGCTATTCTACCTTCTCAATGCCACCACGAGAAGTAACTTCCACGAAAAGTCGATGCAGGTCTAGTTCTTTCCCACCAATAATCGGGATCCTGCGTTTTCAAGAGCTAAAAGTGAAAAACAGAATCTAATTGCAAAACCAACAAAATGGAGAACAAACATTTTATCTCTATTTAAACAAGATTTGAGAAACTTCCATTAAATGAATGACAAGGTCCACTTCACAGATAAAGGAGGAAGTGTTTAAGAAGAATACATGAACTTGGTTCCCATGACAGAATGGAGCTTCTCCAAGGATGCCATAAAGATATTTGGATTAGCTACAATATCCTCATATGTTGTTTGCGGTGGTGGGTATGGTATACAGCTAGAAGTAGCTTCAATCACTGGCAGTTGCTTCCTGCCAGCAAAAGAAGTCGAGGCCATGGTCAACTCGTCCTGCTACACCAGCGTGTCTCTGTTATTTCCTCTTCTATAATCGATCGATGAACTGTTCAAGCACATCCATCACTCTGTTCTATGAAATTTGAAGAAAACAAAAACAGCACTAAAAGTTTGAAACATCTGGCTGCATTGCACGCAAAGAACAGTAAAAAATGGGCAAAAACAACAGAAATTCACAGAGACAAATAACCTCTCCACCCCCACTCCTTTAAGAATCTTGATGCAAATGGGAAGTGATAGTGATGAAATAACTAGCAGCAATAAGGTAGACATGCAAAGACCCAAAAGAAAAATGGTACAGCATAGCTTATATCTGATTATTTCAAATAGACTTGTTTCGTGTTATGGGTAAGATAGCAACGGTTGAGTTTCTCACTATCTAAGACGACTCGAGCCAAGTGATAGCGATGAAATGAATGAGGCTTTCGTACCTACCTACACCGAGGATGAGGTACCATCGGCCTGTAACCAGATGAATATACCTCGAACCCTCGGCCCTGATGGTTTGCTGGATTTGTTTTTTCAAGAGTTATGGCATTTTAAAGGGAAAGCTTCTAAAGGTTTTAAACAGCAATAGGTCTCCAAAAGCTTTATACCAGACAGCAACTGTGCTCTTTGGGCTTTCCCTTTCGGACTTCCCCTCAAGGTCTTTAAAACGCGGTCTGTAGGGAGAGGTTTCCACACTCTTATAAAGAATGTTTCGTTCTCCTCCCCGACCGATGTGGGATCTCACAATTAGAGTAGGGGCAAATTATCAAGACTGCTGAAGGGGATGTCATTCTACCTTGGCTAAAGCGATACCTTACATTCAAGAAGTTGATGTAGCCAAGGTTATAAGCAATTCAAAAGGGTCCACAAGTGATAATTGAAGCTGGAATCTGTTCTCGAGCCGTTGCGTTCGGTTCCTCTAGAAAATTTGCTCCATTGAAGATGGCTGGGGAGACTCAAATGTTGAAGGAGTAAGCAATGACACTCAGTATAAGACTGAATCAACTGCAATGCATGATACAAAGATTCATAAATGGACACAAAAACAACAGAAGCTTCATAGAGATAGATAAATAACCCCACCCCACTCCCTTCAAAATCACTATCATGCAAATCGAAAGTTCAGAACCAAGATAACAAGAAACACCACAACTACCTGAACAAACCCAAGCCTACCGCTAGCAGATGGTATTTGACCCGTTACGTATAGCCATCAGCCTCACGGTTTTAAAACGCTTCTACTAGTGAGAGGTTTCCACACCGTTATAAAGAATGATTCGTTCCCCCTCTCCAACCGAGGTGTGATCTCACATGAAATAACTCAAAGTAGAGATTCAAATACCCAAAAAAGCAAATGGTACAGCAAAGCTGTCACAGCCATGAATTCCTCTAAGAGAATCAAGGGGCTGAAACCAAAGAACCACCCAGAAGCCAGACCCTTTTCATACAGAGGCGATGAGAAAAGCCTCCCATTAAGGCCATTGCAATAAATCTCGCTGGGAAAGTTTCAGGGCTAGTACAGAGCTATGCACCTTTCCCTGTCATTCCAAAGATATCTAATGGGTTATTAAACCATTGTCTCCTCTATGTTGACAAACCCAAAAAAGTGCTTTCTTCTTCTTCTTCTCCCTATCTATTTCCCCATTATCTGACACTAAATCAGCTTTCAAAAGTTGCAGATTCTTCATACAACCCTAAAAACACAGACAAAGAAATCCAAAGGAGATGCTATTATGAATGAACAGATGGGGTTTGGGTTCGAAGGTGGGGGGAACACTCCATTCACTAAAATAAAGAAACCCCACAATGAAAATCACTAATCAGAGCAGAAACAAAGTAGAAATTAATGGAATCACCAAACATAACAGTGATTCAAACAAAACTGTCCATTATTTCCACAACTTAATAAGAAAATGCAAACAACCCAGATCATAATATGACAGATTAAACAGTTTCAAAAAAAGAAAAATTATAAAAGCATTAGAAAGGGGGGGAAATTACATACTCCAGAGATAGAAAGATGAATGAAGAAGCCAATTAGGAGGGGGAAATTTTCATAAAATCCCAAAAACATTACAAAAGAGAAGGGTTTAGAAAGAACTAACCTCGATTAAGAGGACATTGATTGCGAGCGAAAACCAAGAAGAAACCGGGAGTATTGGATGAAGAAGAAGGGTAGATTAGGAATCGAAAAATACGAAAGTTATGGAGGAAAATGAGGAATACGTTATGGCGGGGGGTCGTCTTCATCCTCGAACTGTTATTAATTGCATTCCTAAGGGGGAAAAAATCGGCTATTTCTTTTTAATTTATATTATTTTGGTATTTAATTTATACCTAAATTAATAAAAAAATGAATGGAAAATAAATTTATTTCATAAATATATATTAATATATTTTTAAAAAAAATTAAAAAAATTATTATATTTAAAAAATACCTATAAAATTTTAAAATTAGCATTAACATCGTTCACCTTTATAACATAAAAAAAAATTTATCGTTAATTTATGGATGAAAATTGTTTAATATTATTTTTTTAAAGAAATTTAAAAGTTTTTAAAAAATAATTTTTGAAAATTCAAATATATTTTTGAATGGCTTTCTGATTGGGAAATTTTAGGGCCGAAGTTCGTGTACTCGAGCTGGACGGTTCAGATTCTTTGCATAATGGACGGTGAGATGGTGAAGGAAATTGGTCTCACTTGTAGATGGATCGTGGGCCGTTATTGAGCCTGGACTTTTGCAATCAAGTGGCCCAAACTTTAAATATAAATACTTAAATACTTTAATTAATTATGGCGCTCACCGGAGTTTCGTTCAGCCAGAGATCACGAGGCGAATTCCTAAAATCCTACCGTTCTTCTCCTTCTTCCACCGCATTTCCATGGATTTTCCTAAGCTTTACGTCGGACATTATGTGATTTCGTTGTCTCTTTTCTTCCCCGGAATTCTCTTGTTTTGCATCTCGTTTTCCTCTGTTTTGGATCCTTTCACTCTTCTCTCCGATGGAAGCCATTGCAGCAGCAAGAAGCTTCAAAAACAGGTCGAAATCGCAATCTCTATCACTAACTTTATTGTTTATTTTCATTTTTTAAATTTTCAATGGATTGTGAAATCGTTCTGGATTAATCCTTGCAGAGTAATTCTAGTCATTTTGGTTCTGTTGCACCGCTACTTATGAAGTCGCCTATTGTTTTTTTTTTTTTTTTTTTTTTTTTTTTTTTTTTTTT